GACTTGCAACTTCCTGCTGGCTTCTCCACTGACTTTGGTTGTAGGAAGCCAGCAGGAAATGTGGGATTCAGTTAACAACAGCAACTAGGACTGCAGGGATTGCCATCGCTAAGCGATGCAGTTGCACTTTACAACTGCTTCACTTAGCGATGGAAATTCTGGTTCCGATTGTCGTCGTAAGTCAAAGACTACCTGTAGAGGAATATACTACATCAGAGTTTCTCATTTATTTTTGCACTTACTTCCAGGAACCTGATGTACAAAGACTGGAAAAGAAACTGAACTCTGGACAGATAGAAGAAGTGATTGTGCAGGTATTTAGCAGTGTTTTATTATATCAGGTATAAGTGCTTTGGGAAGGTATCTACCCACTACCCATTTGTAAACATAGCAATGCAGCCTGGAAAGTTTTTTCCTGTGCAAACTGTTTAGTAAGAATCAGTGTCAGTCAAAATCTCTATTTTAAATAAGTAATGAGGAGGTTTGGTGTTTTAATTTCTCTTTTAAAGTGATTTGTGAAGATAACTCTTATCAACATGTATGTTAATTAGTTTTGGAGTGCAATCTTTCAGACAGTTTTAAAATAAATTTGTATTTTGTCAACAGGCTGAAAGTGAACTCTCCTTAGCCAGGAAAATGTTGAAATACCGTCCTTGGGAACCTTTAGTTGAAGAACCTCCAGAAAACCAGTGGAAATGGCCAGTGTAATTAGCATTGTTTTAACCTTTGGCGTAAACAGAATTATTTCATTAAATGTACGTTGGACATGAATGAAAATTGTCTTTAATGCTATTTATACAAACTTTATCTGTCTCAGTATAAAATGGAAGACCACTGTACACTTATCACACAGTAGAGAAAGGGGTTCATCATGTTTTTCAGTGTAATGTTACATTCTCTCAATATCTACATATATAGATATCCCTATAGGCATAACAGAACTTTCTTCTTCTCTAATGCATGGTGCTCATTTTCTTAATTAAAGGGTAGAACAAGTTTAGAAAGAGTACAAAGGATTCTGTTTTCCTGAACTCTTCTGCTATAGTATCTGTAAAAATATACACATTTCTCCATTCAGAGAAACAATCAAGGAGAAAACAATATCCTAATCAAGGAATTACCAAGGAGAAAACCACACTCCCACTAACGCTGGCAGGGCAGGCTACTGTATATAAACAGGGAGCAAGCCCCAGACCCACTAGCACTGATGTTGTTACCCAGTCAGGTAACGAAATGTCTGCAATCAAACAACCAAACTCAGAGAGCACCAAGTTCACACTGTTCAATCCTAAGCTATATATTCTCTTCTATGGGTACTTTGTATATTTCATCCATAGTACACTTACATGCAGACTTCATCACAAGTACCCCAGCCCACCGTATACACAAACATGAAAGAGGGAGATTAAAATCTCAACATTTTCACTGAGGGTAGCAATGACAGATTACTAGATCTGTTTTAATCTGCCTCTGAAAAGACCAGGAAACCCCATGGCTACTTTTATGCATACATATTGTGGGAGGGAGGGAAGTTTCTTGAGTATCTTTAAATGTGTGCCTATATGCCTGCTGAAATATTTAATGTGTCATATTTCTAAAGGGAGCATAACTTTTTATTTATTTTCTGTAAACTGGTACTACCCTCTATCTTTTCTTTTCCAGCTTGAATAGTTTGGGGAAATGATGTTTCAGAACCAACCCCATTACCTCAGATTATGGTTTCAACAATCTATAGCTCTCAAACTGTTAAACAGCCCCTGAGCCAACCATGATTGTAGATAAGAGCAAATAGTAAGAGGGCAATTACAGATTGAAGGGGTAGGAACAGATTATCTGGATCCCGATCAGTCAGGTTTCAGGCCTGGTTCTGGGACAGAAACAGCATTGGTTGCACTTTTGGATGGTCTCTGGTGAGAGCAGGATGGGGGTAGTGCATCCATCCTTGCTCTTCTGGACCTCTCGGTGGCTTTTGATACCATCAACAGTGCTACCCTTTTGGATCGGCTGCAGGAGTTGGGGCTGGGTGGCACAATGCTGTGCTGGTTCAGCCCCTTTCTCCAAGGCCGAACCCAATCGGTGTTGATAGGGAGTGAGAGGTTCAACCCACAGCCCCTACTCTGTGGGGTGCCTCAGGATTCGCTGCTTTCACTGCTCCTATTTAACATCTACATGAAACCATTGGGTGAGATCATCCAGCATCATGGGATGAGGTATCATCAGGATGCTGATGATACCCAATTATACATCTCCATCCTGGGTGACCTAAGTGATGCTGTGACTACCCTCTTGCAGTGCCTGGAGGCCGTGAGGGCCTGGATGGGGGATAACAGGCTTCAACTGAACCCTGCTAAGACGGAGTGGCTGTGGGTACGGGGAGCCTCAAGATCTAGGAGTTTATCATCTTTGGTTCTTGACGGGGGTGCACTACCTCAGGCAGACCCGGTGCGGG